TTTAACTGAAGGCATTATTCACTCTATCCAACACTATTTGACTGCAACGCGGCAATATCTACATAATTAAGAGCAGATTGTTCATTGCGCTATACGGCTTTACTGAAAGCAAGGTAGGCAACGCTGTAAATACCTTGTGTTCTTTTTCGCTATGTTCGGCATTATCGCTCGTACACTTTGGACATAGTAAAACAGAAAGAAGTTCTAGAAGGACCAATATCCGTGATTTCATTTGATTTTAAGTTCAAGTTTTTGGGATATGTGAAAGGGGTCACCACTGAAGTGAACGACTGAAGAAGTATTTGGCTGGAGACTTTTGAGCGCTACTGTATAGCTTGCTTTAATGTGGCATTGATCTGCCACCTTTTTGGAAGAGTGGTCCCTATCACAGGAACTTTGGTCTTGGAACGCACATTGATAAACACATTTCTTAACGGTTTAACACCGAATGTTCAGGCAGTGAGCTCTTCCTCCCCATCCACTCACTCGCCGTGACTGAGGGAATCCTTGTTAATCTCCCCTACTTTGTTAAGTAATACATAAGTTGAGTGGAAATCACCCCCGAGAAGAAGTTTGGTTATTCAGATCTTGTAAGAACATCATATCATCTATGCCTCAATTTAAGCCAACCTAAAAATAATCATTGATTTACTCATATAGTTACCAAAATTCATATCATTAAGTAATACTGCTGCACTGCTTTAACATCATTAGGAACACGCTGCACATATACGTCCTTGGAACAAATTTGAAATTATTTTCAATGAAAGACAAATGCCATTTTATGAACAGTAATGAAATTGGCAACGTTGTTGTATATCATTATGCAGCCCTGAACCAGACGCTTCCAAAATTCACCTTTGTAAGTGTCTGCGATGATAAATGCCGCACTTAGCTGCTTTTGTAATCGACGCGCGAACCACCAGTGGGGAAAGTACTATTCTATCGCCGAAACAATGAGGTCAACCGTGTACATGGCACGCGATGTATGCGTGGTAAGTGTGAAGTCATGTTTTGATGTAACCTTATGAAAAATGTAGCTTTTTTCATTTTTGCCGGAATTACGGTATTCAGACTTCCCTACTTCTTTACCGAAAGGGAAGGAGATCGTCGTAATCCGGTCGATCCGGCTGGTAATGTATCGAAAGCTAAGAGCGCCATATACACTATTATCATTATTTGTCGCTATTTGCGCTAACTCGCCGGAAATCTGGTAATCCGAAGAAACGTTCATGTTCCGCCAATCTGCAAAGCCAAACTCTACGATGATGCCATCAGTTTCTGTTTTTATGCTTGGCAGGAGGGCCTGTGCTAGGGTGGGGGTAGTTCTAGCAGGTAGCGAAATAGTAATAATAGTTGATATTTTAAAGGGTTTCAGGGTAAAAACTTTGGTTGGTCGTTCACGTCGACAACGTCCTAAAGAAAAATATTTCAGGATTCGACATTGACCAATATCGATTTATCGATCGAATTCGTTCGCAACGACATGTTTGTGCCAAGAATAGACTTCGGAGTTGGTCCATCATGGTCGGCCGGCATCAACACTATGAACGGTTTTGTCAGTTTCATGTTCGGATTATTTCTAGTGTACAGTATGGGTGTGGGTAGGATGAGTATGACCTGTATTCAAGAATCTTGCATAATTGGCTCAGTACCCATATTTGATTCGGCCTTTGAATCTTCCAGAATTCCCAACCTGGAGTCTTTACAGGCACATCCGATTCCCTACCTCCATTCTTTGCATTCCTACATGCGCTAGCTTCATCGTTTGTTTTCAGGGAGTGTTAGGTCCCCGATCTTCGTTCGAGGTACACTGGACGCGAAAGATCATTACCGAAAACCGTCTAACGTCAACTGCATTCTACCAGGTTACTTACTTAAACGAATTTAAATCTCTGATTTTCTCTCCTTTGAATGCCTTCAGAATTCTGATCGAAAATAACACTCAATGTTTGTTTTAGGCGGTGATCGTCCTAGGCTTTCATAAAGACGGTGTTCCATCGAAACAGCGCCTGAAGTCACCTCTTATGGAAATTCGACCAAGGCGAAGCCTTCGGGTGGGTTGTTTTATATGGAACTTGGGATATTCATGAAAAAATGTTTCGAAAAACAACATAATTCTCTTGCAGTATGGTAGCGTCGACAACTTTAGTCCCTTGTGATAAGCAAAAATTAGTGGACACAGAGATATTTCTGACGATAGAAACACCAGTTTCTCTGCCTTTCTTGTAAAGAACCCAAATTAAGAGGGAGCTAATTGTTTCGAGAACAAACTTACACTTCAGTCTTATCCTTTGCTTTTAGCAGAAGTTGTTCAGTAAGATAGGAAATTTTTCGACAGATACTTAAAAATAGATTTTTTAAGCCAACTTTTGTTCGATAATTCACTACCTATTTTTCAGCTTCTTCATTTTGTCAGCGGCGACATTACTGCCTCCCCAAAAAAGCCGTTCTCTGCCATGACAGCTATAATGAACACTGGGTAAGTCATGACTTCCCCTATTCAGGTAGGCACTCAACTGAAAAGATCGTAACGTCGGATGCGGCTGTAACTACGCAACATTAATTCCATATCATTTTCAACTTCAAAGCTTCACATATACGCACTCCTTCCTCAACCCATTCTCCGAATTCCTACTGGCGCTAGCTAATATTGAAGAGTAGCTATATAGCTTTCAATCCGTCCTGATTTACTTGTTTTTCGATTCCATCTACGACTGCAATCTGAAAACTTCTTTCTTGATTTCTAAAAGACCGGGCCTCCAGTCGCGATTGCTGATCTTTCGATATCATTACACATGCTACGGGACCCTTCAATATTAGGCTAGTGCCAGTAAGAGTTTTATCAACAACGTCAACCAAAGATTCGGAGAATGTGTTGAGGAAGGAGTGCGTATAAGTGAATTGGTGACGTTGCAGGTATTCACCGCTCACGAATGTACAGGTTGTTCTAGCCGATTTTGACATAGTAACATCATCACAAGCCGCTCCTTTTGATATTGTGCGAATGGAGCTCGATGGAAAGCAGATAGGTAGGTTCTTTATGTAATGAAAAAGTACGCGTTAAGTGATCTGATTATGTGAGGCGCCGTGGGGCCACAGAGCGGCTTAGACAGGGCGCTATAGTAGCACGCAACATGGGCTTTGACGCCGGTCAATACTCGAACAAACGTCCCTGCAGGACATGAACCACTTATCGGGGTTTCACGTCGCATGGTCGGCACCCTCTGATACACGGGTTTGGTGAGCCTTGCAACCCGGTGTCCACGCCAGAATTCTATGAATGGTACTGTCTCCGCAGTACTTTAAGGAACTTTTCGTCCAGCATCGAGTTATCTCTAAGCACTGGAAGTGGAAAGGATCCACCTGCAGGCTCTGTGCAACGAGCACGTATGAATATTAAATGCTTTTTTGTGGTGAATCCGAATGTGTGGAGAAAGAAAATCTCAAGATGTTCCTCGCGAGTTAATGGTGACGGCGACAGGCGGCACCTCTAGCGGATGACAATAACGAGGTACTGCGATGATCGCTGGAGTTTAGACTGGAGCCGGAGTTGAAACGCGCGGACAGCAAGTTCAAGGTCAATCAGGCTCCGACGAGACGACGATGATGCAAATACGAAGTGATGACAGCAGCCGTGGGTCAGAGTTCATGGTAAAGCATGGTCACGTGGTTTACTCTCGTTCCTTGCCGCCTAAGGTACCTTACCGGAGGGGTACTGCGAGCGCCACACCAGTGCTCCTATGAAGTCAGGCATCAAGAGAGAGATGGTACACTCAGTCGCTGTAATTGACCAGTTCAAGGTTAACCTTGTAAGATCATCCTCTCTATAGGATCGCTCCTCATGAAACAATGAACTGAAGGCGTCTTTCCATCTCTCCGACGGAAGGCAACTTTTCATCTCGTCGGGTTCAGAACTGGGGGAATAAGATTCACAAACAAACAACATTTCAACAACGAAATAACATGAGCCACAGTTCTACATTACAATTACTACGGTTCTACATTACATAACCTTGTTAATTCGTCACAATTTGGACTGCATTCCACCAAATCGTCTTTTCACCAGACTGCAGTTTACAGTGCTTGAAATGGACACGGTTTTTGTCTGCTACTACATTTTTTGAGCTTATAATATAGTCCAATCTCATGATGCAAAGTCTGGGTCCGGGAACTTCTCCCCTAACACGACGTCGCACACGCCGCACCCGCCGCCTATCGCAGGATTGCGATGGAAGATTGGAGCGCGCAATTTGTGAGGTAGGGAGTCCTTTAATTATTTGAATTGGCTGGCCGTTCTTTCCAATTCCAATGCGGTCTTGATCGTCGTTTATATAGGAGGAGACATTTTGATTAATCAAGTCTAATAAACTCGAAAACTAAAAGGAAACAGAAGAAAAAACGATAAAATCCAATGAAAAAGCAAGCCAGTCAAGGAAAAATATCGCGTCCTATCGATTGGCGGGAGGTGGGGTGAGTACGGTAATTGCAATGATATTTGCCGCATGCCGCAAGGGAGAATGCCGCGATAGGGGAGAAGTTCCGTTACCCTGCAAAGTCTACATACTTACTAAACTATTCCATTAATAGGAAAGGTCAACTCGTCACACTAGTGAGTTCGTGGTGGACGCCAGCAGTGGCATTTACATTCCTATGCAAATTATGCTAACCACAAGTTGTTTTCGCCCTTGAGCGCTCACTTTTGAAAAGAAGAATTCAGACGACTTCGACGACTTAACATAATAAAATAACTGTGATGCTGTCTGAAAAAAAGTTCATGGATCTGGTCTTTTTTATTTGTTTATATTTTGTATTACGCTCATATTGCTCCTGTTTAGGTACTTCCATATCGCCAGAAGTAGGCTATATCGCTTCAGGCACCTCGAAGCGTCTCACTTACCACATTACCACTCCAGGACAGACGGTAATTTCAGGCTTTAAGCTTGGTACATCTCATATCCCTCATGCCCTTTAGTATCTTCAGGCAAACATAGTGAACATGTCGGCAATCATCACAGTTGAGGGAATACTGATGCCCGTGGAAGACCAACATATCTATGCCATAAGGGCAGCAGTCTCAGAAAAAGGTATTTCCATTATCAAAATGAACAGCTGTTTGATTAGGTACTCCCAAGTTCATCAATCATATGAGTTGTTTTACAGATGGATTCATCGTTTCGCCCGTAACCGATTCCGAGCCCCTATTTTTCTATCGCCCCGATATTGGCAGCATTATCAACATCGTACCGCTTGAGCACGTTGCGGTGAGTACTTATTTATTCATTTATTTGTTTATTTATTCATCACTTTCTTATCCTTCTTCCATTCTTATTCTCGCAGGCTGACGACATGATTTTTATGTTTGAATTTTACCTTGTTATTGATGCCCAGATAGTTATTCAGGTCCTGTTAAATCCTCAGAGCCCTTCTTTTCAGACTCATCAAAAACCAAATGGAGAACCGAGGAAAATCACATTATTAACTTCTTTCCGCAGTTTGTAAGTCTTACCACGGAGAGCATGTCCTCCTATAATATCTCTACATAATTTTTTTTCTTCTTATTACTCAATATTGAATGACAGCACAAATGAGTTTAGGGTCACGCCAGGCTTCACTGGAGCTCTTTGGGGAACTTTCAAATTGCCTGAATTACCATCAAATTACCGATTGATGCGTGTCGTCGATCAACGTGGTACGCGACTGCGTGTGGCCACCCCAGTCACTTGGATTGAAGAAAACGGCGAGGTGCAGTCACTCACCGATTGCCCTTAACTTTACCTCATTTCATAGTTCATCGAGAACGCATTTGTACCTCAATGGAACGGTATTGAGTCAGTGAGACGGTTGCTCATTGGATAAAGGGTTAGTGTGATTTGAGCGGCAGCAGCACCCTTAGAGAGTAAAATCAAGTAATTCACACCTAAGGAAGGATAAATGTGGGCACTAGTTGTGAAATCGAAGATGCACTGCGATTAGTTTACAATTAGAATACGCAGCTATTTCCGATCGTTTTAAATTAGATGTTAGGTACTGTGAGCGCTTTGGGATAAATAACTCTGTTTTTTCTTTTTTTTTTTTGAATTATCGGAAAGATTTCTTAGGATCGCAATCTGAACTTCATCGACTCGGCAGCTCCTTTTCCCGTCACAGATATCGTTTATGAGATGGAATTCGGCGAACCGACGGAGAGCTCGGGACCAGAATTCGATCAGACATCATACAGAGTGCAGGTAAGTATTCAGTATTCGAGTATTCAGTTTTGGTGAAGTTGCTTGAAATCGGTGACTGTAAGATTTAGCGGCAAACCGATATTCCCCTCCTCAAGGCTTGAGAAGTTTGTGAACTATATTCTACAAAGTGATAGCCGCATATAAACTTGAGCTGAATTCATCTTTCAAATCGAACCATTCCAGATCTTCCCCGATTCGTGGCCAGAGCCCGGCTATCCGTTTGCTGTCATATCATCACACTCGCCAGCTTCGTCTAACGTCACCTATGCCCTCTACACACCTGACAACGAAAAGTCATTCGCGGTTGATCCCTACACTGGTGAGANTTCTATTCGAAGAAATGTTTGGTTACTATGGATTTGGTAGTTAGTGGACACCGAAAAAAGATGTTTGAAGTCTATTGAATTTCGCAGCGCACTGAATCGCTGGAATTATAGAGCCTCCCTTTTATCTCACAGCTTGATAACTACCACTTTCAGGTGAATTGTTCATGACTTCGTCGGTGCCACCAGGTGATGAGTTTTGCACCCTCTTGGTGGCTAAGGACGCACAAGGTCGAGAGACTGCCGTACCCGTAGCCATCAATACTGGTACGTGATGTCATTTAGCTTCTGCGAATGCGTGCGGGACATTACCTATAGGATCCCTATGACTCGTATTTTTCGAGCATCTGGAATATTTCGAAGAATTTCAGTGCAGTTCAGCTGAGATATTTTGAAAGAATAGCAAAGTGCGTGTTGATTGAAATTACCCGAACGAATTATTTTGCTCAATGGAATTCTTGAACACCCTGCACTACCAACTACTGACTAGCGACGTTATCGCCTATAACTCCCCTGCTCCGGAGGGTTTTCCTATCCTTCTATGAATATGCAATCCATAATTTCTCAAGGTTAAAGGGCTAGCTATCGTAAGATATCTAGCTATCCGTAAGATTTCTGCATAATCTCTTGAAGTTGATACTAATTCTTGATGGTATATTCTAGGAATAATCCGAATCGAAGTTGAAATTTATATAATTCAGGTGGTCTTCGTAAAGAATGCATCAACTTTGACAACACCTATCTCTCGCCGTCAGTTTATCATGGCCCCCATCGGGGATCAATTGGCTCATGGGCTACGATAGGTACGCAGACGATTTTTGGCTAAATACCATCGGTTGAGTACTAAGTATTAATACTGCTTTAGTGCCCACAAGAAGCACTGAATCCGGGGAGCCCACGATGTATACAGTATCGCCAGACAGCTTACCGGCGACCCTGACGACAAGCAAAAGAATCGCAACAATGATAACGACTACTGGTATAGGCAGCGAAGGAATACCGACTCCATCTACGATGGATCCTTCAGTATTTCAGTCGGGAACTTCTACAGTTTTTCCTGTTGAACCCAGCTCTCATACCTCCACAGAAGGGATTTTCATCCCCGCTTCTACTACAGAGACACCCTTAGAGCCCATAACGCCTGACGCAGACCATGCCGAATTAGGAACAACTTCAGAAGGAACCACTTCCACAGTAGCTACTTTACCAGATGCGGTTGAACCAACTCATCCTGTACCGATTTCCCCAGATGCATCACTCATGACCGTAACTTCTTCCGTGACAACGGTAACTGATAGAGCAGAGGAAATACTCACGATAACGCCTGATTCTCATTTACCTGAAATAACAACGGTGGAAGAGAGCTTTCCCTCTCCGGTGCCTTCATTATTCCCGGAACCCTCCACAGAGCTTCCTACAGATCCGCCCATTTGGAACGGTTCTTCGCCAGGAAACATACCTGTTGAGGTTTCTACTGAGGAGAACATTAATAACGTTACACCAGATTCATCACCGGAAACACCACCGCCTGTGACTCTTACGTTAGAACCCGAAGAGCCACTCACAAGAATTTCATCCAATGGAAATTCTCAGACCGTGAGTTTCGTAGGCACACCCGGCACGGGCGACTGGGCTACGGAGCCCACAGGGCTAGCAACCACAGCAAAGGAATCAACGTTACCGGTAGAGTTGATTCACACAGTAAATCCAGATGGAGGGGCAACTGAACCTCAGTGGCCTACAGTTATCCCTCCAGTATGGACACCAGTAGGTGGTGGCGGTACGCTGGCCACTTATCAAACTACCGCACGTCCAACCAGGACTACACTCGATCCCTACTATGGGATGGCGTGTGCGAAACAAGGCGAGCCAATATGGGACCTCATTTGTGAATTGAGTAAAGCATCGATCAGGAGAGAACCTTGATTCAATGGCCTTCGTTATGTGGCATTTTGTATATTTCTACGTTGTACAGGCCTATTCTGAATAGATTACTATGTTGAAATTATGTATAAAAATAAAAAAGTTGCTCATTGAACAGTTCGAGGTTTTTTGCGTTCGATGTTTATGATTCATATTGTCGGCAACATCAGAGAGAACACTCTGATGTTATGTATGTAACCGGCGCGAAAAGTGGTCGAATCGAACCCATAAAAGTAAAAAAAGTAAATTCCGAAAAGCAATACAAAGAGAAGGTGGAATAGTCGTCCTGAAATCTTCCATCATAAATCAAGCTATACCAATTATATGCCTGAGATGTGATAACAGATGTTTTGAAAATAGCTAGGGAGACAAAATAATTGAGAACAAATGACAGTCAGAATAGAACGAACAGAATTAAAAAGGTGTCGGTGTCAGGACCATCAGTTACTTCCATTGAGTCGATGCAACTGTTGTGGAGTTGATATCCTTGAAATTTGTTTGGTTTTCACTTCGACATCACTCTCGATTTCAAAGAATCTCGTTCACTGGACCCTCTACAGGCATCTTCCAAAGCTCACGATGAAAGTGGTCTAGAAGGTTTTTTTTCATAGAACCTGTCCCTGAAAAGTCTGCAAGAGCTGCTGTATGCTAGGAAAGCGGTCTACTCAGGAACGGCCCAATGAAGGCTCAGAAATCGGTTATGTTACCCATTGTCGTTTCTTCAGAACAACCCTTTCCACAGGAAAAAAATGTACAGAGGTGAGGAATGGGTCAAAAAACGAATGGAAGGAGATTCGCTCGCGATGGGTGGAGCTTCCTCAAAGGGGCGTGCTTTCCACATAAATTCACAACTCGATATTACTTCACCACAGCTTATGATTAATTCGTGAGGGGCTCAGCCGAAACCACAAAATCCATGACTTTTGGCGAAACGTTCTTTGTTGTGGTGCTTGTGTTAAGTGTGTCCAGTCGAATTGGACAGATCGTAAGCTTCTCCTGCCTGTATAGGACACACGTTTGATATGAAACATTTCCTTGTCAAGTGATTACACTAATATAAAAATGATGAAGCAATGCAAACAATTGCATTAGTACAATCAGGCAAAGTAAATACCTGATAAGATTGTCTTACGATCAGTCTCAAAAAAGCCCAAGAAGCACAGGCCCTGTTCCATTGCTAAGGTGCATGTCTTGCTATACTCGTCCTCTTCAACCAGCCGGAAGCTATAGCAAACGAAAAAGTGGCTGGTCTTCCCTTCGAACACTACAAACCGTTACACTCTGACTGAATCGAGCCAATTCCTAAATTTTACATCTGCTTAACAGCTTTATTTCATACCATGCTGTGCTAAAGTAATCCCGTAGCACATCAGCAAACCAACAAGGACTTTCTAGGAAGTAGAGAGGGAGCACTAACAAATTTTGCTCGAGTAAGACTATAGCCTGGTCACAAAAAGCACATCGAGCGGATATACATTCAATTTCTACTGTTTTCTGAAATCGAGGTCGTCCTCGTTGTGATCTCTGAAAAGAAGAAGAAGCAGGACCAGAGTCCTGTCTTGAGTTTATACGACTACAATACGTTGTCACAAGAACCAAAGTGAGGTCAACCAAATACTGGGCCATAAAAACTAACACATTTTCCAAGACTATTCGCTTTTTTTTGCAAAACATATCACAAGAAGGTATCGTCCTTTGTAAATAGCTAAGATTTACATCCATCTAGTGTTTTCCACAAGCTTTTATTCAGCTTATATTTCAACTTTTATCCGCCAATATGTGCAATCAAAAATCTCACTGTCTTTTTCTAATGCCATAGGCACGGTTTGTGATAAAATGTCTTCTCTTCTCTTTTAGGAAGTAATTCTGGCTTCAAATGGTGCATATGGGATACTGCAGGGTCAAAACCCAAACAAGGCGTAGTAGGGGCATCAGAACCAACTTGGCCAGCGTACACACAAAAAAAGACTTGCTATGACGGTGTTGTCGAGGTTGCACCAATCACAATGGAGCAGACGTTGAAAATTCCAAAAAACTCGCCGTGACTCTTGATGATAGTGATCTCTTTCATAGTGCAACGCCGAAGTATGCGTCGGCGTTAGAACACCACAGAATAGTACGCTGATGTGGGAGACAACCGGACGGTTATAGACGGCCATGCATTGTACTAAAATTGCAGTCATACGCCTTCTTCCTCCTTCCCGAGGGAACAGTCAGCTTTTGCGCTGGAAGAGTAGACCTCAGTTTCTCACTTGCAGTCGCTATGCCAGAATTTTACACCCAAAATCTTTTCTTTTCATCCATTCATTGCAGTCTCGCACCTTCCAGCGAAACTCATGGACTTGCGAGATAACGACTGACGTCCAGTGCTGATTTTGTCGACATGACGCTGACGTCGAGTATTCTGACGCAAGTACTGTGAACACGCCCTGTTTAAGGCATTCTTTTATCCTTGACCTACTGCAGCCAACACTCCACGTGTGGCTCCATCTTACAGCTCCAAATGCCCTTCCATGCCGCTTTTGTTGTCGCAATCTCCTACAACCCCTTTTTACTATTTTTTGATCCCTGAAGTGCTATCTTTTCCTTTTTTTGTTTACCTTTCTTTTCCTGAGTGCCTTTTCTTTTATTAATTGACCTCATATGAAAGGCAGCTGAAAATGCAACTATCATCAGCTCCGGAAGGGAGGGTGGAAAAGAACTCAGTCCTACATCGTTTGTCATGCTGCCACGCACTATGTTCCTCACGATTAGATCCTTCTGGTCTTCTGGACACTTCTTGATAGAGCAAACCCACATCATTTTTTTTATGTTTTGTGATACTATACATTTGACAGCTTGGAGATGCGCTAGTGTTGCGTGAACATCACTTTTGGAACTTTCATTTCTCCATGTCACTTCACATGTTGTGAGTTCCAATGATTACCTGAGTATTCAAGGAAGGGAACCAATCCTGACGCGGGACGTCCCGAGTCAGCCTAATGTACTGCGGTTGACTTCAGAATGCTGAACAATCTATGCATTCCGGATCAAGTTGAAATTATAACGAAACATTCACCAATCACAAGGCATATATAATAAGCAGGCGTGCTAGCTCTAGACGTTCGATTCTAGTCATAAAACAGACAGTTAGCGAAAAGATGCGCTGGCTACTGTCTTATCGTAGTCCTTTTATCTGTGAAAATGTTTTGCGGACCACTTAGATGTGTGGCAGTTTAAGCATTCCCTGATAAGGCTCACTGTTGGTGCTTTGCTCAACCACTCTCCGATCTTCCTGCGGTGCGTGAGAAGCAAC